CAGCAGGAAAGAAAATTCGAAATGGAGGTTTTTGATCAATTGAAGCTCTTGTAGGCTTATGTATTGGTCATTAGGTCAACATTACATCATTTTATTTCACATTATATATTAAGATCATTATAGTTTACTTACAAATTTATTACAAAAAGAAAGAAAGAAAAACATAAGAAAAATTCAAAATTATAGGTATAAAGGTTGGAAAATGGTTTTTAGGTTAGTAAAAATAAAGTTATGGGTATTATGAGGTTAGAATATGAAAGAACAACATTATATGATACTATGACAATTTTAATCTTCAAGGTTGATAAGTAGAAACAGAAGTTATTAGGAAAAAAGCACTTTTTCAAAGTTGGTAAACAAGAGGTACACGTGTAGTTTGGTTGTGTAATAGTGGTAGTGATGGAATTTAAGGTTGCCAAGATGATTTTCCGGGATTTTTAAGGCTATAGATGATGATGTAATATTACATGAGCAAGAAAGGCTTAGTAGTAGCTGTGAAAAGTGAAGAAAATGGGTGAAATTCGTGGAAAATGGAGGTTTTCAGCTAATTACATATGTCAAATGACGTCAGAATAGGTTGGTAGATGGCTCATTCAACGCAGAAGAGTGGATTACATAATGTACAAACTTTAAATCATTAGTAACGGAGGTGTGTGTAAAAAGTTATAAGGCAAATAAAGAATTGGTGTGAATCTCGAATTTACAGTCACAAGTCATATGTAACACTAAAAACCTTAACTTCACAACTCAATATCTTACTCATCACTCATCAGAAGTAGGTCATGTAGGTGTCAGAAATGATCAGTAACACGTGGGCTACAAGATGCACTTTAGTAATCAAAAATTGGAGCACATCTGAAAAAATTCGTAATCTCAAAAATTGGTTTTCAGCTAGTTTACAAGGAAAAAATCACCTGTATTCATCATAAGAAGTGCTGTACATCATATTATTGCGTCATTGATCACTTTTAGCTGTGAAAATTACATCATTTATTAGTAACAAAACCATTACATTGCGTCATCATAGGGTTTTAGGGAATTTTGGGCGGATTTGATTGGTTTTGAGGCTGTTGACCATTGTAAAAGTTCTAGTACATTGTTATATATACTTTGAGAGGGTTTTGGGACTGTTGTTCCCCTTTTTTTCTTCATCATTTACGCCATTATTATTTTGTTTATCATCATAAACTTATTTTAATAGTACCTGTTCACTTAAATACGCCCTTTATTACAGTTATAAAGAGAAATTTACTTTAGTTTTATAGTCATAAAGACTTATTGGGAATAATATCAATCAGATATTGCTTATTTCTTTAGTTATCAATTGGGAATAACACTATAGCAGTGTTGATGGTAATACAAAGTGTGCTTTTGAAGTTAAAATTACGTGTGAAGTTATATTTCTCTGGTGCCTTATCAGTACTCAATACAACAGAGCTCTTTCTGATTGTGTTGTTTTAGAAGAGCAGTCCTTAGACAACTTCTACTAGTCATTTTATTAGTAGATTATCCTCTTCCAGCTCTGTATAACCCTTGTTGGGTTATAAGTTCTACAGCGCTTAGTGTTCATTTCACATAGCAATTTTGTAGTGTTGTAATGTATGAAACTACAAGTACTTAGTTTGTCCTATTCAAACCTAAAGTATCCGTTCTATGAACACTTTGGGTTTCTTGGGGGGGGGCTGCCCAGGGAGGGCAGAGGGAGGTAGGACCACCGAGAACTGGAGATGGGAGTGCGCTTCCCCTTGACTCAGGTCGTAGTCCTGAGCCTGCAAACTCCCATCTACGGCGATCTGTGTCAAGGTTGGATCCCCCCCAAGGTGCAAAGGTCTTACTGTTGATACCCACGTCTGCGATATTTCCATCCAAAAGACACGTTAAGGTAAATGTATTCCTTTTTAAACTATGACAATCTGAGTTCTTCGAGCAACCGCACTGTATTTAAGACTTCCGCATCACTATACTCTCTAAGATAAAGTTTATATGCCTTTGATTTCCACCGTCCGACAGCCACTATCTTTTCCAACGGGTAATCTAAATTCCATCTTAATGACGCTCCGCCCACCCTAAAGGAGTGTCCCGTTAAACACGTCCTCATTTGACTTTCCCATACATCCGCAAATATTCTCTGGCATCTTGCCTTCGTCAACGTTATCCTCCCATCACCTCAAGGATATGATTTAATGCTGGCAGTGATCAGTTGCTTTGGTAGCTTCAATCAGCCTCTTCACGGCATTCACCGGGTCGAGGAGGGAGTGTTGATTCTGGCAATGAATACGTTGAATTTCGCCGATCGCGGAAGTCTTCGCTTCTTTGATTTTGATTTGTAAGAAGTCCATCTTTTCGTCCCATACTAAATCTTTCACCCTGACCTGATTCGTACTCTTTGCTGGTTTCAACAATTCTCCCAGGCGAGCCATTCCCCAGAAGGCAACCAAAGCCACCGTGTATGCTACCTGGTTCTCTAGGCTTCCATCCGATAAAGATTCTAAAAGTCCAAATAAGTGGTTGATCATCACCGGATTCTTTTTCTCTTTTGGTTTTTCTCGCAGTTCCAGTCTCTGAGCTGCTTTTAAAATCGCCTCGACTTGATCTGTCGCCGAATGAGGATATTCGCGGTCGTGAAAAAGGTGCCAGGCCTTGATTCCAGAGAGGTAAGTCCGAATCGTTGTAGATTTGATTGGAGGAGCATCTGGGTTGATTGGTTCTGTTGACGGCTTTGGCCCAGCCCAAACGACGAATTGGTATAGAACCTCTCAATCAATCGGGAGTAAAAGTGATCGAGGGATGTTCTTCTCTTTCGCAAAGGTGACCAGCTTCGAAACTCCCGCGTTATAGTGCCTAATGGTCGCCTCCAACCAACTCCCACCTATCATGTAAGTCTTTACGGGGTCGTTTGACACTGAGTCAATGCCATCATGGCCCTTAAGGAATTCCATTATCGTTAGGATTGACGCTGATTATGACGAAGTGGAACCTGGGTTAGACCGATGTCTCTTTAGTACCGGATTTTCATCCACGGTTTTTCTCAACTTCTTAAAAAGGCAACTCAAGGATTCCGGCTCGGGAATGGCTTTGGCACTGTGGCAACTCAAACAGAAGAAGTAGGAAGATTTTATTTCACAGACACTGCTTGACTACTAGCCGCAAATCCTCCGGCACAACAATCACAACACGATCATCTATATCCCAATTATCTAAACCTCTAGAGAGTAAGTCTGCCATGTTATCCCCAGTTGCCACCCGCTCAGCTACGATATCACATTGAAGTTCCGACAACAACTTTTGCACCATTTTCCACTCCTCATTCACAGCTCGATCACCAGACTTATGTTTATCAACCGCTGACTGTGATGTGGTATTGTCTGTAAGTACAATGAACGACTTTCCCCCTACCTCTCTCAATTTACTCAGTACTAACAATCCCAACCATATGGCTACAGTTTCAGCCCATGCGATATTTCGCTTACCTCGGTCAGTGGTTATTACGTTCCATCCTTTCACCAATCTGAACTCCGCCCAGTTCTTTCCTATAAGGATTCCTATGCCCAACATCGACGCATCTCCTACCCACCCTACATCAATAGGGTCGGAGTCAGGAATTATCCGTCTAGGTCTGAAGGATTTCAGTGTGGCCTGCCACTCCAACAGGTCCTCTCGAACGTCTCCTGGTACCTTTTGTTTTGCAGATGCCACCTTCCATTCTGCTTCCCAGCGGTGCAAACTCGGCATATAACACCGCATGTTAGGAACTATGTAAGTAGTGTGAACTGACCTCCCAATTAATTTCTCCGCCTGTTTCAAATTAAATGAGGCTCCCAGGACTAGAAACTTGTCTACTTGTTGACTCCTTTCGGTGAACTTGTCTTCAGGTAATCGAACTGTTCTATCTGCAACATTCCAAATGAAACCGATATATCTCTGCTCTTCTGCAAACTCATGGACTTTTTCTGCGTTTGAGGATACCCCCATCTCCGCACTTAAAAGACGATATCCTGAATAGAGATGTTGCTGTCCTTTTCCTTCACGAGTAGATTATGATCTACCCACCGAAAGGCGGCTACCGACTTGAAGTGTTCAACTATGATTTTTCTCCATAGATCTGCAGGTCTGCCAAACACACCACACCCTGCGACGCCTCCGAACTGGATCCTTGTGTCAAGCCACATTCTATTCCTTAGGTCCATTATCAAGAGGAACCGCCATTGTGAGGGGTGAATCGCGATCTGACTATACGCCTTCTCCCAATCGAAGATTGCCACCAAGTACTTTCCCGAGTGAGTTTTGAAGAAAAGTGCTACTACCCTGAAATCATCCCAGCTAGTCTCAAACTCCTTCTTATCTACAAAGCTATTAACGGATGGTGTTTCTTCATCATTTTGCGGGAAGGACAGATCATTAATTATTTGAAACGATCCATCGCCATTGATGACGCTGCCCATTGGGCTGGACCTGAAAAACCCGAGTTTCTCGAAAACTTCCATGTGAGTGAAGGAGCCGAAGATCCTGTTCGCTCTTCTTTCTTTCGCCAGAGTGTTCTCAATCTTCTCTGATGCCTGTGACACTGAATCATGATTTGGAGGTGTAAACCACCGTCTATTCCCGAGTGTGTGATCCGGAATACCCTGGTGAAAACCATTCCGACACCCTTCCAATACCTCTTCTGCGTCACCTTTTATCCCGTATAAATCGATCAACAGCTTCCATTTCTCCAAGTTCAGGTTGCAGACTGCTGATTCTCTCGGCCACCTGGGGTCGTACCTTCTGCCCGAATTCGAGTAAGGTAGCAACCCCACTGCACCTGACCTCTCAATTGATTTGTCTAAAATCAGTCTGGGACCAGCTCCAGGCAGTCTCCTATCACGAGTCCACACACTACTCAAGGGTAAGAGGGGGGCAGTTATGTCAGAATACGTGGCCAAATAATCACATCATCTTATTTCCAACGGATCACAGCAGAAAACATTTAATGGAACCAAAAACAAGTTTCTAGAAGATAGTCAAATTACTGCGACTGCACCGTATATCATGGTGATGTGGACTCTTAGCCGGTACAAATCAAGAAACATGAAGATAAACTTCAGGGCGGGTACACACGCCTTGCGTACAATGTACGGTTTTCCGATCAAGTCGTTGGGCGGACTACACACGCCGATGCGTACCAGGTACGTCTTTTGAATTTTCCTGACCACATTCAAAGAAAGGAACACCTAAACAATTACTCCAAGGGCTTACTTTGCCTTCCCATTTCCTCCAAATTTAGGCCCTGTAGGCACACGCTCATCACTTCTGCGATCTTCGCGTCGATCTTCTCTCCATGAACCGCTGCCTTCGGCTCTGCGGTTGTCATAACTATCCTGTCCACGACGGCCCCTAGGAGAAAGATCACGACCTCCACCATAACCACCACCTCTACCGCGACCGCGAGTCAAACAACTTCCATACCCGTGATCGTCAAAGTTGGTAAAGTTCACCGCACCCGGACCCTCATACACCACCTGGTTTGCGAAACCCCAGGATCTAGCATTTGGTTTGCCAAAGGTTGAACTCATAGAGTGGTCATTTCGGCTGGGTCCAAAAGAGGGGGTGTTCTGTCGCAGTCTCTCACCAGAAATCGGATTGATGTGCGATTTGATTTGACCATCAGCATAAGGGTTGCAGTCGGCGAAACATGGGTCAAAGTCTCCAAGTTGCTCCGAGTCTAAACGAGCATCTCGCTCCAACTCTTCATTGCGGTCTCCAGGATTCGCGAGTTTCCCATCTGAGTTCCTCAAGGTGAGTACCGTAGTTCTGACGGCCATGTCATATCGGAAGGCCATTGGCCAGCATCGTCGCTGTAGGAACCCTTGCTGAAAAGATGAGTTTTAGCAAGCTGTAACTGAGTAGGGAGCCAAAGAAATAAAGACAACAACCACACACACAAAAGAAGTATATGAGGTGTGCAAATAAACTTTGGATAGAGTTAACTAGCCTACTCTAATTAATACTGAGCCTTTAAAAGAGCCAAAAGACCAGAAGAAAGAGAGGAATATAATACTTTAAGGAGTACTACAGAAATGAGAAAAGGGTAAAAGATGAGTATAGAGTTTATTGAGATTTAAATAAGGGATAAAGGGATGGTAAGGTGCTTAAATGAATAAGACTTGTAAATAAAATGGTGTGTACTGAACACAGAGGGAAAAAAAGGCTACACTACAATTACTACTTCAGACTATGATTCCCCAAAGCAAAGTAAAGTTTAAATATAACTCTGTGAAAAGACTAATCCTAAAGGAACTACCACAGACTACCCCCTTGAATACAACTTGCAACCAAATCAACAGACAGACTACCCTCTACTAAGAACTAGACTAATGAAAGATAAAACCTGACAAAGCTATAAGCTAACTACCATCCACAAAGTAAACGTCCAACAACTTATTGGCCAATGTGCTGTAGCCTTATACTTTTCTAAGCCTTTCAAAACCTAGGTTAATATGTTAGAATTCTAGATGAAGTGTTCAATGAAGCAAACTAAGCATATGATAGAATAATAGAACTCAATGAATTATCTAGACCAAAGGATATACCACACACTTTCAATCAGAGGGTGAAAATATAGAATATTAGACTCATGGAGAGAGCAAAGAAAAAGTCTCCTTATATCAACTTAATATAAGGGGCAAAAAGTGATCACAGAAATAAAAAAAGAGTATAGGCCAGTTGGTACTGCCAATGAGCTATAAACTGATAGGAACTTTCCTGGATAAATTTCTGGATCACTTTCAAATCCTCCCTGTCAACCACCTGCCTTATATACACACAGCCAGACACAATTGAATAAAGAGAAATTGAGATCATAAAAAAAGATATGAGAGAACAAACACAGGCCACAAATATGTACACACACAACTTCCAAACTCTGCCAAGACCAACACCAGAACCGCTCCGATACGCTATGGATTTCAACCCATTTTGGTATCGGAGCGGAGTAACCGCTATGAGATCACCGATAATTGACCGATATTTTTATTTAAAAAAATATCACAAGGTATCGGAGCGGAAGGTATTTTACCGCTCCAATACCGCTATATATCGCTGCTATAAGGGCTAAAAGGCATATTGAAGTGCCCTCAGACCCTTCCCATATCGGAGCGGTCAGACCGCTAATGGTTTTCTCGCCTTGGGATGGCGGAGCGGAGCCACCGCTACGTATAGTGGTCAATATAGCGGTGTAAAAACCGCTCCAATACCGCTCCGATACCGCTATATGTTGCGGAGCGGTTCTGGTATTGCCAAGACCATTTCCCACCAACATAGATAAACTTTGTACATATGAAATATGTAATCCTCCTTGCTGCACCAAATAAATAATTGAATTGAGAGAGATTGAGTGAAAGAGAAAAAAAGAAACTAAGCCTCCACCCTGATTGTACCAATTACATAACTGAATTGAAACTGAGATTGAGTAAAAAAAGAAAATAGAAAAAGAAACTAAGAGAAAAAAATCACACATCCATCTTTTACATAACTTCCCACACATGTAGATTCTCACACTCCTCCCTTCTCACATCTTTGATATTTCAATTGTTGTTTAATGGTTTTGATATTGAGATATTTGATTTGAATGGTTTCAATTAGTCATTTGATATTGTTTGTTATTTGTAATGAATTGAATATTTGATCATTAGTTAATGTACATTAGTATTTTGATATTGTTTGAATTCTTCAATTGATCATGTGTAATTTAGATATTTAGTAACTAGTTAATTGAAGTCATCAGAGCCTGGCGTTATATCCCCAGAACTTTTCAAAGGGGAGCTCGGAAACTCGATGCATGATTTGCCTGCGAGATCTGAATTGGTGCTTCGGACCGCAAGCTTTCAGACATTTAGATTCGGAGTTCAACGGTGTTTATCAGATCATGTGTCAAAGTGTCGGAGTGACATTTTGGTTATCCCAAAAGGGCGATGTCGTCAGCTTTGGCAATCCAGGGACGCCGTCCAGTGGATCGTGTGATTGACTGACCGTTTGTTAGAGGGAAATAGCGGAGAGACGCCTGGCGCACGCAAATACGGCCGCGAGAAATTCTCGAGCATAAGGCCCGACATCACCTCTTATCGCTTTGTTCTTCTTTCATGGCGCTGCGCTTGTCCTCCGGATTGCTGGACTTGCAATGTCCCCAGGTTATGCCAGGGGGGCCTTGCTCAACAAGCCCGTTTCCTCCAATTTCTTCGTGAATTTACTAAGTTCCCGTTGATTTTCTACGTATTGGCTCAGATTGGCTCTTTATCCCTACGCGACCTCATTTTTGCCAATTTGTTTTTATTCTGACCTTGGCAATTTTCATTCATTGTTATTTTTCATTGTTTGATATTTCGCTTAGCACTTATGATCATCTTGCTTCAATTACATTGAAAAATTGATGAATCATTGGTTCAAAACGACTTGCCTTTCTCTCTTCTCTTCTATTCCTGATTCATTTTACATACTATGATTGCGCTCTTTGTGAAAAACATGAAACTAGTCTTCTTTTATACTCTTAAATTTCTTGCGTTGGATAGATCGATTTGTTGCAAAAAGATTCAAAGTAATTTCATCAAAGGTGTCAATTTGTTGGTCAGTCAAACTGATTTACTTTTTTAAACTCGTGATTATGGTTTACTGATGTGTCTGCTTCTGGTTTTTGTTATGCAGGACGATATGAGAGTTGTATGAATCTTTAAAAAAGAAAGCCGATCAAGTAGCTCAATCAGCCAAGTCAAATCGTTTCTAGAGTTCTTGTAAAACTTTGCTTTTGAGCAATAGTGCGCTTGTCACCGCTTCAGCAGATGAAACTCCATCCTCGGTGAGTTTTGATTCTAGTTCTCCTGCTTGAAACCCTCGATATCTAAACATTGAGTTCGATCTTGCAGGGGTTCTCTTATCTTCAACTTTTCGTGTGGAACTATACCTTTCTTTGCTCCAATCAAAGGAACTATGTGTTATGTGAAAGATCAGATTTGAATCGATAATAAAACACTTAATTTTCAAGAGAAGTTTATATGAAAAAGTGTAGCCACACTGCTCAGCATCCCTATGAGATTTGTGCTGACGCTGATGTATTTCCCCCTGTAAAGCAGCGATGGGGTCAGCTCTTGTGCTCACCAACTCACATCTTCTTTTCACTTATTCCGTCACAACAGGATTCTAGGATTCTAGGTCCCGCGACGTTTTTCGGCCACTTTGGCTTGCGATTAAATTTACATAATCAGTTCATGGTATGATTCACTTAACTTGTTTCATCCAGCAGACATCCCGCTTCTTATCCCAGTTTTTCTTTTTCCTTAACTTTCAAAGTTTCTTATCCATAATCAGTCTCACGTTGTAAATCAGTTTCCACCATCTTTCTCTCAATCGCGCCTGGTTTATCCAGCGTTCCAACGCGGCCAGTGGCAATCCCGGGACCTCGGCACAGGCTAAGTGTTACTTCTTTGTCTCAGTGTCTCCTCGGTTTAGATTCTGCTCGTTTTGTCATTTCTCTGGTGTGTAATTCAAAGTTTGGATTGAATTCTTGCTCATTTCATTTGCGCGCTGATGCGCGGATTCACTTTCTGCGCGGCAATGCGTAGAGAGAACAATCCGCGCGAACGAGCCTCATTATCGAGGCCAAGGGTTTCCCAAACCCTTGGTCTTCCTAGACCGAGGGAAACCCGAGGCCGAGGGAAGACCTGTTATTGATCCTTAAACCCTTGGGAGAACCCCTTTTAGATCTCTAAATTAAGATATTCCAATTCCCTTTTGAATAGTTCTGGGGATATAACGGCGTGCGTCATCAGACAATTGATAATTTGACATATGATGGTTTGAATTGATTGTACACTTGATATGTAATTTGAGATTGATGTGTAATAACTCAATTTGATATGTAATTACACAATTTGATATGTAGTTGATTGATGATTTTGTTACTGTGTGAGTTCATCATTTGTAATTGAATATGTAGTGATGAGAACTTTCAAAGATTGATCATTTGATCTCTTAATTGATTTGGTTTCTAGTCATTAGTAACTGTGAGATGTGAGTAAATTTCAATTTGATGACTAATAGACCTTGATTGATTGCACCATGGTATGTTTTTTAGTTTTGATAGTTGATTACCAATTCATTTGTTAGATGTCTTTAGTGATTTTAATTACCTAGTTGTCTGATGACTAATGATTTCTAATTGTTTGATGACTAATTTGTTATTTCAATTCTTTGAAAATTGTCAATTGATTGATTGATTGATTTCTTATTTGATTAAGAAGTTGAGAAGAGGATGAGCTGTTGATTAGTAACAAGCCTGGCTCGCAGCGCCGCGCAGCGCAGCAAAGACTAACCTGAGCTGCGTAACTTCAATTTTTTGGGGGGAGGGGTGGTAACTTGAATGGAAGCGGGGGCAACAATCTACCAAGTTATGGTAGCGGGAAGTGGAGCTTTTAACCGCAGCGTTTCGCAGCGTATCAAGCCAAAAAAAAACGTAAAATCAAATTTCGATAAAAAATAAAGAAAAACATTGAACATCTAGTTCTTAATGGAAAAGACCGTCATGAAAGTGGAAATAAGACTTATTCATTAAAGATTGTAAAGAAAGTAAAAAAAGGTAAGCAAGAAAAAGAAAAAGAGACACACACAAAGATGGACTAGTTGGTAAAGACTGTAAAGAACATTAAAAATAGGAAGTAATTCGAGAGCAGTGTTAGAGAGAAAGGAGGAATAATCTTAAGTGTGAAAGTGAGATTTCCTGGTTTTCTTTTGAACCATCTTCTTAGCATAATCGATCACCTTGCCAACTTGAGCAAAATTGCCGGCCAAAGGG